TGACGAGGAATGAACCAGAACTAAACCAAGACAAAACCAGGACTAAAACAGAACTAAACCAGGACCAAACCAGGAATAAACCGGGACTAAACCAGGACCAAACCAGGACTAAATCAAGACTAAACCAGGACAAAAATCAAGACTAAACCAGGACTAGACCAGGACTAGACCAAGCCTAGACCAAGACTAAACCAGGATCAAACCAAGACTAAACCAGAACTAAACCAAAACAAAATCAGGACCAAACCAGGACTAAATTAGAACTAAAACAGGATTAAACCAAGACCAAACCAGGACCTAAACCAGGACCAAACCAGGACTAAACCAGGACCAAACCAGGACTAAACCAGGACCAAACCAGGACCAAACAGGACCAAACCAGGACTAAAACAGGACTAAAACAGGACTAACCCAGGACAGAACTAAATATCAAAGTCATCTATCGATCAGAGGATTAAAATACTAATGAATATAAATGAGCCAACACAGCAGAGGAGAATTGTGGGTAATTTGTGTTATCAAGCAAATAGGAAACAACAACATGGGCCCGTTCCAAAGGTTAACTCACACACGAAAGCTCGGGTGGGAGCGCCGTAGTGAGGACCAGCCAGTTAATGTTCGGCAGTTTGACATTTGTAAAACCAAATGAGATCCAAACAAAGTCACGCGTAACATTTCCCTGTTTCAGATGGAGCCGATTCGGGGGTTAATAAACAGGCTGGATCGGGAAACGCAGGTTTGAAATGGCATCACAATATTTTATAAAGGTCTAGATTGTGTGGATGAGATTAGGGAGAGCAAAGTGTCCACAATATGAAGATGTGGTGATACTTAAAGGGTCCATACTACGCTGTTTTCTGATCTGTTATGATGTTTCTTCATCGCAGACAGACCTGGAGTTGTGTTTTGTTTCATTCACACATGTTAAAACACACAAACCCTGCAGATTTAGACTATGAAAACACTTGTGAACTCCATACACCTTCACGAGAATCATTTGGATGATTTCAGACGTGGTATTGTCAAACTACAGCTTCATGATGTCACAAGGTGGAACAGAGCATTTTGAGCTTAGGAGGCATAGACAGACTAATAATAAAATGTGGGAATAAAACAAAACACCACTCCAGGTATGTTTTTGAAGAAGTAACAACTTTATAACATGGCTTAAAGCTCACAAGAATAGAGCTACAGTCGTCCCTCGCTATATCGCGGTTCACCTTTCATGGTCTCGCTGATTTATTTATTTATTTATTTTTAACACGTGGGTGGGTCAGGACTAAACCAGGTCTAAACCAGGACTAATCTTGGACTTAAGAGAGAGAACGCCGAGCAGTTTGTCTGCAAAGCGCGATCAGGCAATTGCTGCGTTTACCTCCGTGAGGTGTGGAGCTCTCCATCGGTCCCTTCTCCTGCCGTCACCTCCGGCCCTGGTTCAGTCCTGGTTCAGTCCTGGTTCAGTCTTGGTTCAGTCCTGGTTCAGTCCTGGTTCAGTCCTGGTTCAGTCCTGGTTCAGTCCTGGTTCAGTCCTGGTTCAGTCCTGGTTCAGTCTTGGTTCAGTCCTGGTTCAGTCCTGGTTCAGTCCTTGGTTCAGTCCTGGTTCAGTCTGGTTCAGTCTTGGTTCAGTCCTGGTTCAGTCCTGGTTTCAGTCCTGGTTCAAGTCCATGGTTCAGTCCTGGTTCAGTCCTGGTTCAGTCTTGGTTCAGTCCTGGTTCAGTCCTGGTTCAGTCTGGTTCAGTCCTGGTTCAGTCTTGGTTCAGTCCTGGTTCAGTCTTGGTTCAGTCCTGGTTCAGTCTGGTTCAGTCCTGGTTCAGTCTCGGTTCAGTCTTGGTTCAGTCCTGGTTCAGTCTTGGTTCAGTCCTGGTTCAGTCTCGGTTCAGTCCTGGTTCAGTCCTGGTTCAGTCCTGGTTCAGTCCTGGTTCAGTCCTGGTTCAGTCTTGGTTCAGTCCTGGTTCAGTCTGGTTCAGTCCTGGTTCAGTCCTGGTTCAGTCCTGGTTCAGTCCTGGTTCAGTCCTGGTTCAGTCCATGGTGTAGGCAGTGCAAAAGCTTGATATAATCCCGGGTTAACGGGCAGGTGTGGTGTTGTACTGGCAGGTGCGGTGTTGTACTGGCAGGTGCGGTGTTGTACTGGCAGGTGCGGTGTTGTACTGGCAGGTGCGGTGTTGTACTGGCAGGTGCGGTGTTTGTACTGGCAGGTGCGGTGTTGTACTGGCAGGTGCGGTGTTGTACTGGCAGTGTGTACTGGCAGGTGCGGTGTTGTATGGCCCCCGTGCAGGACTCTGCGCTGTTGGGCTCTATTACAGAATAAATGAATCTTGGGTTCATTACATAAAGAAGGAGGAAAATAACAAGAGGAAGACAGCAGCAATAAGCTTTAAGAAGGAAGTAAAAAGGGTTGCACCTGTCCTGTGTGGGAAAAGTGTATAAAGTTTGTGCTGAGGGGTTTTACAGACTTAAAACAGATAGAATAATTGTAAAATATTAAGTTAACTACTTTGTGGATTTCACCTATCGTGGATTATTTTTAGAATGGACGAGGGACACTGTCCTCTCACCTCACAACCTGTGCACATGGACTCACACTTGTCCCGACCGGGACGGAAAACTGACAATTTCTTGTACAAGTCATTGTTAAATGTGCATTTACGCTTCGGTATGTTGCAGACTGATCGACTGTTTGTGTCTCGCTCCTTCTAAGTCACAGAGAACTAAAGCCGATCAATTTAATGCCCCCAATGAACTGTAATGAAAACCAGGACATTTCCATCACTTAAAAAAAAACAGACGCCCAGGACAAGACGCAAAATACGGACATGTCCGGGGAAAAACGGACTGTGGTCACCCTACACAAGAATCAGTTTTGTGTAATAGAGGTCTTTAAGCTTTAATGATCTTTAGTCTTCATTAGGGTGACCAGACGTCCCAAAATCTAAGCTGTTGTCCCGAATCATGAACCCGGCCCTCAGTGTCCCGAAAATTACACCCCAACAGAATACTGAGTAGTTCTTTTCTGATAAACATTAAAAACTGTTGGTAGAGAGGTTAAGTCCACTCTTACGACCCAGAAGGATTAAACATATTAAAGAGGACACGGGAGGCGAAAGGATTACAAAAGTAAACACCAAACCAGAAGTAAACCAGGACCAAACCAGGACCAAACCAGGACTAAACCAGGACCAAGCCAGGACTAAACAAGAACTCAACCAGGACCAAAACCAAAACTAAACCAGGACCAAACTAGAACTAAACCAGGACCAAAACCAAAACTAAACCAGGACCAAACCAGGGCCAAAAATGTATTAAACCAGTACCAAACGAGTACTAAACTAGGGCCAAACCAGGATCAAACCAGGGCTAAACCAGGACCAACCAAGTCTACATCAGGGCTAAACCAGGACTACAAAAGCATATCCACCATGTTAGCGTTTTTGATGCACTCGATCCAAATAAAAGTGCCTCATTCCGACGTAAAACTCTTTGATAATTATCTCCCCTCTCGTGCTCTGACATGGCCCTGCTTCTGCGGCTCTATACATTTTGTTTTGACAGCTGTTGCCTCTGTTTTGGGCCTCGTCCTCATTAGCGCTTCGCAGGCTTTTGTTGTTGTGGGCTGTACACGAGCAGGTGCACAACGCATCCACAAACATCAATAATTAACAGATTAAATGCGTAATCCGCTTTTAAGGCCGAGGTATGCGCCCTGACGACTCAAAGATGTGAAGACGAGACAGAAGCCGGTGAAAAGAAACGTCCAAATGAGCAAAGAAGTGATTGAAAGTGGCTCAAGAAGTACAACAATAAGTGTGCAATTAGTGCTATGGTTTATCAAGAAGAAAGTATTAGTAGTATGTTTTAACAGTATTTCTCCATCATTAACTTCTCACTTCTAATCTACAGTTTTGTTTTGTTTTGTTTTTTCTCAGAGGTAATATTTTCTAAAATAATGGCAGCAGTTTCACAGAGATTGTGTTGATTACGCAAACAGGCACGAATCACTCGAAACACAACTGTGAGTGTGAAACAGTGAGGGAAATAATGAATGAATAAAGCAGGATCCGAAAGAGATCAAACCCAATCTATATCAAGACTAAACCAGGACTAAAACAGGACTAAACCAGGGTTAAATCAGAGCTAAACCAGGACTAAACCAGGACTGAACCAGGGTTAAATCAGAGCTAAACCAGGACTAAACCAGGACTGAACCAGGACTAAACCAGGATTAAAACAGGACTAAACCAGGGTTAAATCAGAGCTAAACCAGGACTAAATAAGGACCAAAACAGGACTAAGCCGGGACTAAACCAGAACAGGACTAAACAAGAACAAAACCAAGACAAAACCAGGACTACACCAGGATTATACTATTAATAAACCATGACTAAATCAGGAACAAAACAGGACTAAACCAGGACTAAACCAAGACTAGACCAGGCCTAAACCAGGACTAAACCACAGCAAGAACAAAACCAAGACAAAACCAGGACTGGACTAGGACAAAACCAGGACCACAGCAGGTCTAAACCAGGACTAAACCAGGATAGGACTAAATAAGAACAAAATCAAGACAAAACAAGGACTACACGAGGACTATACTAGGACTAAACCATGACTAAACCAGGACCAAGACAAGACTAAACCAGAACTAAACCAGGACTACACTAGGACTAAACTATGACTAAACCAGGACCAAAACATGACTAAGCAGGACTAAACCAGGATAAGACTAAATAAGAATAAAACCAAGACAAACCAGGACTATACTAGGGCAAACCATGACTAAACCAGGACAAAAACAGGTCTAAACCAGGACTAAACCAGGACAGGACTAAGTAAGAACAAAACCAAGACAAAACCAAGACTAGGTCAGGACTAAACCATGACTAAACCAGGACCAAAACAAAACTAAACCAATAAAACAGGACTAAACCAGAACTAAACGAGGGCTAAACCAGAGGACTAGACCAGGACTAGACCAGGCGTACATAGACCTCCGTCCTCACCTGTGGTCTGGGGTGTCCGGTCACCAGACACGTGAGCTCCAGAGTCTCTCCTTCTCTGATGGTGTACACTCTCTCCGTGTGCCTCTCCTCGTCCACGTTACACGCATGTCCTGAGTGGATGATCCGCACGCTAGGGGGCGCTGCAACAAAAACACAATGACAGATTTAATATTATGTTGGACTTTATTAAGTATAGACTAAAACTACTACTGTGAAAAGGAATATATTATTAGTTTATTACAACTTCATTAGTGGAATTGCGTTGCATGGAATGTTCAATAGTAAGTTATAGGTCAGATCTCTGGAGAGGTGAGCACACAAAGAAACAATGTATGGATTTCTTTCTTTTTTTTTTTTTTAATCAACACAATAGTAATTATATAAATCCATGATAGAAGGATTTATTGCCATACTATGGAAAAACAAATGCATAACATCTCCATGGAGACAAACAGAAAAGCTTCATAATGTGCCCTTAATCTCCAGATATTTGGTTACGTGTCAGATATGAACCCACTTCCAAACTGGCTTTAAATGATTATACAAACAAACTACAACTACACAGCTTCTCATCAAATCATTAGATAAATATTGAAATAAACCAGGACTAAACCAGGACAAATCCAGGATTTAGACCAGGACCAAACCAGGACTAAATCAGGACCAAACCAGAACTAAACCAGGACTAAAGCAAGACTAAATCAGGACTAATCAGAACTAAACCAGCTAAACCAGGACTAAATCTGGACTAAACCAGAACTAAATCGGGACTAAACCAGGACTAAACCAGAATTAGACCAGGGCCAAACCAGGACAAAACCAGGACTTAACCAGAACCTAACCAGTACCAAACCTGGACTAAACCAAGACCAAACCAGGACCAAACCAGTACTAAACCAGGACTAAAGCAGGACAAAACTAGGACTAATCCAGAACTAAATCAGGACTAAACCGGGACTAAACCACAATTAGACTAGGGCCAAACCAGGACAAAACCTGGACTAAACCAGGACCAAACCAGGGCCAAACCAGAACTAAACCAGGACTAAAGCAGAACAAAACTAGGACTAAACCAGAGCTAAATTACTACTAAACCAGGAACAATACAGGATAAAACCAGGACTTAACCTGAACTTAACCAGTACCAAACCTAGACTATACCAGGACTAAACCAGGACCTAACCAGAACTAAACCAGAACTAAACCAGGACTAAATCAGGGCCAAACCAGAACCATGAAATATTGTGAATTCAAGTCATTTTTCTAAGCTAATAGAGATGTAGTAGTTTGCCGTGCTGTTTGCTCAGAGCTATGAACAGAAATGAAAAGAGATTGACACGTTTCGAGGCTGAGGCAGAGCTGGAGAATTGCTGGAGCTGAACCGCGACTGGAGCGAAAGAGATCTGAGCCGAAGATATTTTATGAAAAACAAACGTGAGTGAGACGTGCTCTGCTGAGTGGATTCGAGGCTGTTTGTGCCACGCTCCGAACATCAGGAAAAACTGTCGGTGTCAATTAAGAGAAATGGGACCGGGGATCAGGAAAGTCAAGGGGGAAATATGAGAATAGCACGGTGACTGAGCAGTCGCCTCACAGCTGTAAGGTTCTCGGTTTGACTCCCGGGTGGTTGTCAAAAGTATCAAAAATCAGATACGAATCAATACCAAAATTAGATCCTTTTTTGAGCAGATAAAAAAAAGTCACTATTCACAAAACAGAGCAGAATCAGTACTGAGTATCGACACTATTCCTTAGCAGGGATGTAACAAAAACTGAAACTGTGGTATCGTAAAAAGTATAAATATATCAAATTACAAGTTCCTTTACTTAAATGTATAGTTTTATAGTAGTAAAAGCTAATAAACATAGAGAACTACATATCCCATGATTCATTTCAGTGCAGACAACATGAAGAGATATGTTTTTCACTTGAATTTTTGGGATTATGACAGTAACGATTCGCACCAAATCTTGTCAAGGTCTTTTAAAAGCTGTTCTTCTTTGTCTGTTTTTAAGATAATGTTTGTCTGCATTGTTGAGCTAAGCTTAACATGTGGTTTAGTGTATTATTGAATTGTATTTTAGGTCTACTGCTGCTGTACAACAATTTCCCTCTGGGACAATATTAAAGTTGAAAGTTGAAAGTTCAAGTTGAAAGGCAGGTGTTAACTTGAAAACTACCACTTCATGACATCACAATGTGGAAAAGAGCATTTTGAGCTTTGAAGATGTAAACAGATTAATAATTAAAGGTGTGCAAAAATATCAAAAATATCCATATATCGTAATGTTTAATGTGATGATACAGTATCGATATTGTGGATTGTGATATTGTATTTTTTGGTATATTTTACTCAATTATTTTAGACTTATTCTTAGACTTAGACAAACTGTATTGATCCATAAAGGAAATTATTTGGACACAGCAGTGCACATCACAATATTATAATAACAAGAGCAAAAATATAAATACATTTTTTGCAATACTATACTAATATTACAATACATTACATTCTAAATAAGAGCAAAAAAGAGTAAGAGACAGGAGTCAAATAAGACATAATTATATAAATGTAGATGTACAAGTCAGAATATAATAGAAAGATGAGTAATAAAATATTTATCTTTCTGTTTAGTTACAGTGCTACAGTTTTGTTGCTGGTTCAGAGGAAGGAAACTCGTGACATATTTGACATTGTCACTGTTTTGAGGATTAACATTTGTGTTTCATTTTCTTTGCACAAAAAGTGGTTTAACAAAGACATATAGTTTCGCAACCATGATAGTTTTTATTGAACCATATTGAATAGATTTGAAATATTAGGGGTGTGCAAAAATATCGGAATATCGATATATCGTACCGTTTAATGTGATGATACGGTATCGATATCGTGGGCTGCTGTATCGATATATCACCAAGAGTATTTTTAGGTGTGTTTTACTAAATTATTATGCTACAGTGCTACATTTTTGTGGCTTGTGGAGTGAAAGAAAACTCATTTATGCAACACATTTGACATTTTTACTGTTTTGAGGATTAAAATGTTTGTGTTTCATATGAACTTTTCACAAGAAGTGATTTAACAATGACTTTTACTATCAGAGCCATGATTTAGCCTTTATTTTTTACTGAACTGTATCAAATCGATTTGAAATATATCATATCGAATCGAAAGTGCACTGTATCGAGATATGTATCGTATCGTGGCCTGTGTATTGAGGTATTTATCGTATCAGCAACTCCTTAATGATACCCAGCCCTATGAAATATACTGTATCACACTGAAAGCTCACTGTATCGAGATGTGTATCGTAGCCTTTGTATTGAGGTATGTATCATATCGGCAAGTTGTTAATGATACTCAGCCCTACTACTAATGCAAGTTTACTCACATGTGTGAATGAAACAAAACTCCAACTAGTCTCACGGTATGAACCTCACGGTACAATATTTATTGCGATATCATGGGAAAGCTCACGATATGTTGGGGAGGCTCACGATTACAAATGTGACAATATCCAAATGTCTCGGTAAATATTTTCACGATATACATCTCACGGTACGATATTTATTGCGATAATTTGTGGAGTCTAACAAAAAACTGTGAATATGCACATTTTTCCTCATAAAATGCCTTGACAAGACTTAATCCAAAGAACTAAGACTTCAAAGTGCTTAGAACTGTTATTTCTTCATGTGGTCTGCACTGAAATGGCGCAAAGGATCATGGTCTATGTAGTTCCTTGTCTTTTTTAGCTATTGCTGCAACATAACTCTTAACCCATTGACGCATCAATGGGTTAATTTAAGCAAAGAGACTTCACTATATTGTGATGGTCCAAGATATTATTGTGAGAACTTTGACGATACGATATCACGATATTTCGGTTACTGTTACATCCCTAACTCCAACTGTCTTTTAGGTGAGGTAACAGCATTATAACATGTCTTCAAGCTCACAAGTCAAGTTTGCGTAATACAGGACCTTCAAACTTACGCGACTTTTCTTCTAGAAGTTCCCCCACCATTTAATCTCCATACGTTACTGACTCTGCAAAACGACTGTTTACAAAAACGAACCAGAAACATACTGAAACGTTATCTTCATGCTTCTCCTTGTTCCGAATCTAACAACCCCAAATTATAGCTTGCAGTGGCCCAGACCCCCTCAGCATCTGCTCCCCTCCCTCCCCTCCTCTCCTCTCCTCTCTTTCCCCCCTCCTCTCTTTCCCTGATTAGTGGAGAGCTTTTGGAGGGGACGATTTGGAGAGCGGACGCAGATCTGATTAGGAGGACCAGGAAGGAGGACCACGGATAATTACTGGTGGGAAGAACGAGAAGAACCAGACGCTGCAGAAATCAGAAGCGGGCGGAGCTTTTTATCTTCAAGGGGATGCTACTTCCTGTGTGGAATTCAAGCACTGTACCACATATGTGCGGAATTAGCACAGCAACACTCGTCCACAGCTGCAATTGGGTTCCCTCGGAGATTTTTTTATACTTGTTTTATTAGATTTTTGGACTAGTTTCAAGGACTAGCCTCACTCTTCAAGACTGGTGTTGAAAAAAAACAAAAAAATGGACACTGAAAAAGCATTGTGTACATTTTTTGTTTGAAGGTCCATCAAATCCTTTCCTTCTAGAGATGTTGTTGATGTCTGGAATGTTTCACAGTATGACATTAAACCTTTCAATCTTCACGGAGACCAAACCAGACCAACTTACAGGTCAGATAGTCATAGTTCACCTTTATTTTTTGAGTACTAAAAGGAGCAGAAGCAAAAGAAAAATGCAATTCTATCAACTGGACTGTTTTATATAGACAGATATAAGGCAGTGTCCACCAGCAATCTGACCACAACTGAAGAAGCCGCTTGGATGAGCAGCAAAACATCAAAAACTCTAAAACACTCTAAAACTTTTTTTCAGTTCAGTTGTTCAGTTGACAGAATTGATTTTTTTTCTTTTGCTGAATCATACCTGGACGAGAATTTACACAGACATCTACTGAAAAGAAAGTTTCACATCTCAGATAAATTAACAGTTTGGGGCTCGACAGTGGGATTTATGGACTTGGATTAATAAAGATAAAATGAGTAGAATAGATTTGACTGCTTTTTAGTTTTTTTTTCTTATGCACAATGTGTCATTATTTAAGTAAAAACAATATTCCATTACACATACACACTTATTGGCAGATGCACTTGCAAGATAAAATATTCTTAATTCAACTTGTTACAGTGTAGTGATGTGCAAAAACATTGAGATATTGATATATTGTATTGTTTAATATGATGATACAGTATCGATATCGTGGGCTGCTGTATCGATATATTGCCGGGAGCATTTTTTGGTATATTTTACAAAATTATTTTGTTACAGTGCTACAGTTTTGTTGCTTGTTCAGCGGAAGGAAACGTGTTTATGCAACACATTTGACATATTCACTGTTTTGATTGATTAAA